GGGAAAGCATATAATTCAAAATAGATGTCATCCTCTCGCATGGCTTATCAACTTAATTACTAATATAGCAAATACTAAACCACCAAAATTCCTGTCTAAAAATCTTTCTTCCTCTATTACAGATCCTCTTAATTGCTAATATAGCTATGTTTTGTGATGTACATAATGAAAAAAAGCTACTCTAAAGAGAATCAACATGGAAAAATTGGCACGTCTCACACAACCTGAGATCCACCACACATTGATCTCTTCATCTATCTCTTTCAGTTTTAGTGGACGCTACAATACCATACATGACACGGTATACTATTCACCACATTATCTCCCGTCCCGTAAACCTCTCCGTGGACTTGTGACATAACTCCATGATTCGTTTAATAAGAGTACAAAAAAAGTAATTTTCATGCCAATGACAAAAGAAATGGTTGCAGAGGAAAAGTCTAAGCGGCATGCATACTGCTGGATGTCATGATCATCAGAATGGAATTTTGACTAATAGTTGTGGAGAATGGAATTTTGAGTAATAGTTATGGAATTCTAGTGACCGATGCACGCATGTAGTGAGAGAATTTGGCCAATAATATTGATCTGTATCATCTATAAATACCTTATCTCGTTACTCAAGTACCATGTAACAGAACAAAAATATTTGCCTTCTTGTCTTGCTGCATGCTGCACTTATGGCATCTCAGCTTCACAAAACTTTGCTTTGTGCCACTTTGCTGCTGCTGCCGCTATTGCTTCCCCGTGTTCCTCTTGTCAAAGCTTCACTCGGATCCCAAGGGAGGGCGTTGCTCCACTGGAAAGCCACTCTTAAGAGTCCTCACTCCCTGAGATCTTGGAACCTCAATTCTAGTCCATGCAATTGGACCGGAATTGCATGCAATTACTCCGTCACAGGTAGAGGGCGTTCGGCGATCACCGAGATACACCTGCCGAAGATGGGCTTGGCAGGGTCACTTGATGCTCTTGACTTCTTGACATTGAGATCGCTCCTTCGTCTCAATCTCTCCTATAATCAGCTCGGTGGGGCAATTCCTTCAGCTATCTCGGCTCTCTCCAGGCTTGTATTTCTTGATCTCACTAGTAATCAGTTCACAAGCAAAATCCCAGTTGGGATGGGCTCCATGAAAGAGCTTCGATTCTTGAGTCTTAGCCAAAATCAAATGGTCGGTGCTATACCGCCATCTCTGAGCAACTTCACCAACCTTGTATCCTTGCACCTGGAAGATAATAAGCTTGTGGGTGTCATTCCTAAGGAGTTGGGGAGGCTCCAAGAGTTGAGATATCTGGATATTGGGGTCAATAGGCTATCTGGTTCAATCCCTTCTAGTTTAGGAAATTTGACAAGGCTCTACCACTTGGATCTCTACCAAAATCAATTGACTGGAGTCATCCCTGGAGAATTGAAAAATCTAATTAATCTCGTTTACCTATCAATTGCAGATAATTATCTAACAGGTGGGGTTATCTCTTCTTTTGGAAACCTAACCAAGTTGCAATTATTTTGGCTACGGAAAAATAAGCTCTCGGGTTCTATCCCTTTTGAGATTGGAAATCTCATTGAAGTTACCGATCTCGACTTTTCGAAAAACCTATTAACCAGTTCAATTCCTTTTTCTATAGGAAACATGACTAGAATAGAGAGACTTGACCTTTCCGATAATCAATTGTCTGGTTTTATTCCTCTTGAGATTGGAAATCTAATTGAAGTTACTAATCTCTCACTCTTAAAAAACCTTTTAACTGGTCCCATCCCTTCCTCTATAGGAAACATGACCAAACTAAATATTCTTTACCTTCTGGATAATCAATTGTCTGGTTTTATTCCTTTTGAAATTGGAAATCTAATTGAAGTTATTGATCTGGCACTATTAGAAAACCTATTATCAGGTCCCATCCCTTCCTCTATAGGAAACATGACCGATCTTAGAAAACTAGGTCTATTCGACAATCAGTTGTCTGGACATTTGCCTATGGAGATCAACAACATTACTGGACTGACATACCTAGTGCTGTCAAATAATAACTTCGTCGGTTATTTACCCCCGGACATATGCAATGGTGGAGCCCTACAATACCTTATTCTTAGCATGAACAACTTTCAAGGTCCCATTCCCACGACCTTAAAAAATTGTACGTCACTAGAAAGGGTCCGTCTTGAACACAACCAACTCACTGGAGATGTATCTCAATGTCTTGGAGTGTATCCCCATCTTTATTATATGGATTTGAGCTTCAATCAACTCTCCGGTAACCTCTCACCAGACTGGGCAAGATGGCACAATCTGACGTTCTTCAGAATCTCAAATAACAACATCACCGGAGTCATACCCACCGAGTTTGGGCAGTTGACGAAACTGCGAGAGCTGGACCTCTCTTCCAACTACCTACAAGGAGAGATCCCAAAGAGCTTCGGCAGCTTAACCCTTCTCTACAATCTGAGTTTGGGCGACAATCAACTCGTCGGCCGTGTGCCTCTGGAGATTGGAATGCTGTCCAATCTTGAACTGCTTGATCTCTCATCCAACAACTTGGCAGGAAGAATCCCAGATCAATTAGGCAACTGCATGAAACTCCGATCGTTGAAACTTAACAACAACAACTTTAGTGGAACCATTCCTTTGGCCATTGGTAATCTGGTGTACCTCCAAGACACCTTTGACATCAGCCAGAACTCACTAACAGGGGAGATTTCATCCCAACTCGGCAAGTTGGTGATGCTGCAAAGCCTGAATCTATCGCATAATTCCTTCTCGGGTCATCTTCCATCTTCGCTAACGTATATGACGAGCTTGTCTACCGTAGATGTATCCTACAATGAACTGGACGGCCCTGTTCCTGATAGCCCAGCTTTCCGAAGAGCCCCGGCAGAGTGGTTTGCCCATAACAATGATCTGTGTGGAGTTGTTCGAGGATTGCCTCCGTGTGTTTCACTCGGTACTCCAACAAAAGATGACCGAAGCAAGCGCCACAAAGTGGTTGTAATAGCCATCATTGCTTCCGTCGTCTTCTTCCTTCTCTTGTTTATTTTCATTGCAGCTGCTTTACGATTCCACAAGAGAAAGAGGCCGCCAGTACCTGTCGATGATAATCACATCAAAGAAGTTGCATTCTCTATATTGAATTTTGATGGAAGAGATGTATACAAGGACATCATCGAAGCCACCGAAGATTTCGATGCCAAATACTGTATCGGAAGCGGTGCATATGGCAGAGTCTACAGAGCAGAGTTAGCAAGTGGGGAGCTGCTAGCGGTGAAGAAGATTCACCTACCAGACACAGAAGGTACATGCGACGAGCAACCCTTTCAAACTGAGACACAAACTCTTACTCAAATTCGACATCGCAATATCGTCAAGCTTTACGGGTTCTGCTCCGCTCCTCGACACAAATTTCTGGTGTTCGAGTACATGGAGAGAGGAAGTCTGGGATCTGTCCTCCGAAGCGAGACGGCAGCTGAATTGGACTGGGTGAAGAGGGTGAGCATCGTGAAGGATGTCGCCTGTGCTTTATCCTACATGCATCATGACTGCACACCGCCCATCGTTCATCGGGACATCACAAGCAACAACATTCTACTTGATTCAGAATTCAAGGCTTGTGTTTCCGACTTTGGAATTGCTCGACTGCTGAAGCCGGATTCATCAAATTGGACCATGCTTGCAGGCACACGGGGTTACCTAGCACCAGGTAAGTCTCTCTCTCTCTCTCTCTCTCTCTCTCTCTCTCAGATCTCGTAGTTTGTGCAAATTAAGAATACCTGCAATTGAGAGCATCTTTAAATTATATCTTGGAGGAGATCTCCATGGATTGGCGGTTTGATCATTGGCTCTTGCTGTCTGCAGAGCTTGCATATACAATGAGAGTGACCACCCAATGCGACGCGTACAGTTTCGGAGTGGTGACGCTGGAGTTGCTGATAGGAGCGTATGGTGAAGTACTCATTTCCATTCTGTCGTCTTCGCCGATCAACGATAGCTTTGTGAAAGACGTATTGGACCGACGTCTACCTGTTCCTGAGGGTCAAGTTGCGGATGAAGTAGTTGCAATTTTGAGCTTGGCTCTTCGTAGCGTGGACAACAGCCCTGAATCACGCCCGACAATGAAACAGGTCTCCGACAAGTTATGCGCGGTCAGAACACCCCCACCAAGCCTCCGATCTATTGATGCATTGAAGTTTTCTGACTTGATGAGCGTGGAGATATGATCTATATGCACTCCTCTGTGCCCCGATGCTTCTTTTGGTCAGAATCGGTAGACTTTGTTTCCGTATGGCTTGCTTTATTAGTGGTTTCATTCTTCAGCGTGTTTAATAAAAGCATCGGTTGGTAATCGATCTCTTTTCTAAATCTTGGACGCTTGAAAAGTTTGATTTTCTTGTACTATATGTTTCTTGAGAATTTGTGAAGGAAATTAAATGAAGGCTGAGGGATGATTGGTTTCTGATGTGAACCTGCCCACCACGACTGCTCTGCTACGGAGGCATGACAGAGGGCCGACCGATGAGTAGGAATTCATTCACAGATTTGTTTGTGTTGTTTGCTTTAGTGATTTCGTTACGTAATCAATAGCTCTTGCATCCATTGAATATTATCAAATGAAATCTCTGTACCATTTCCACGAATCAGAGCAATGAGTTTCCTATTCTCACGGCTTAGCATATGGGATTGCTATGCTGCTTAGAGTAATATTTAACGCAATAGGAGGGAGGAATAGCGTTCGTATGATGCAGTGCAATGCAATGGTCGTCTGATTCAGTGGCTTTGGAGTCGTGACGCTTGAGGTTCTACTGGGGAGACATCCAGGCGATCTCATCTCTAGCTATCATGATGAAGGTAGCGCGATGAGAGAGATGCTCGACCCACATCTTCCACTTCCTCCAGCTGAAGTTTCAGGCGCAGTCTCTAGCTATCATGATGAAGGTAGCGCGATGAAGGTAGCAACGTGTATATACAACCACAAAGAACTGGAAGCAGAGCAACTCAATGCTCTGCTCATCTATCACAACGTTGGATTCACCAAACACCGATCTCTCCGCATGTTTTCTTTTGTTCTTTTGAAAATAGGGATTCAACTCGAAGAATTTGAATATATGAATGGACAATTACAACAGCGTGCATAACACGGCAAAGGACTCATCGCTTAATTTCTACTATACCAACCGTTGAATGTTAGCTGATGGCGCTCTCCCATAGACTTTCTGGAAGACTTTACTGAGATTTATTACGACTTCGAATACTGGAAGAGAATCTGTAAGAACAAAGAAAATTGATACGCCGAGTACAGAACGAATCTAGAAAACGTGAATACCATGGCAACAGGATTCACCGCACGCTGATCTCTCTCCACTTTGTCAACCATTCATTTCAGCATGGGACAGTGTGTTGTACTGTCCTGTAAGTCTCCTGAGGTAAGACAATGGATTTGGTAGGAGTGAGATATATAATCTAAAAATAATATATCTTGATTATAATTTAGACATTGCTTATGAATCCTTATCTTCTTCTCACAATTCATTGAGCAACCTTCTTAAAAAATCCATCCAAGTTGATATGGTTGAGTTGACTTAACCTGGGAGGTATAAGCATGTGATATATATATATATATATATATATATATA